AAAATAAAAAAAAAAAAAAAAAAAAAAAAAGAATGAAGGTGCCTGACTGTGTTGGTATGCAATGTTGAGTAGCTCACTCCTCACCTGGTTGCAGAGGAGGAGCCCAGAGGTTCGGCTGTTCTGTCCCAGGTCCCGCTTCTGGCTAAGCCCGAGAAGGGCAGATGGGGGCCTCAGGCCTAGAGATCAGCCTGGCAGAGCTTTGGTAAAAGGTGCTCAAAGACCATCTGAGAGCCTGCTAAAGGCAGTATTCACACCCTAATGGAATAGCTGGGCAAACCTGATTCACTAGAACCATTACTAAAAGCCACAGATGTAAAAATGCTCAAAGAGCAAAACAAAAATTAAAACCTGAGCACTGTCAGTGGGAATGAATTTTGAGAGTTAAGGTTGAGTCTGTTTAGAGACTCATACCAGGCTCGAGTATGTGCACACCGGATTCAGACTGGCCACCGAAACATGGAGGGCAAAGCAGAGCAGCCCAGATCTAAGCAGCAGATCCCACACAGACGTGCTCCCACTCCGGGATCAGAGTGGTGCTCCCACCCCAGCAGAGCCAGGAGGTGCTGTGGAGGCCATGGGCTGCACCCTCTACCAAGGCCACGTGAAAGGCACCAGGCTCTCTCTAGACACGCTCCCTGTCTGTGAACCAGCAGAGTAGATTGCTCTGGGCCCAAACTGAGGGTTCTTATAGCACCTACTATGCAAGTATTTATTTTTCTTTTTGGCAGAAGTGGAGGAAGTGGGTACAGGTGAAAATGACTGGCTCACAGTTTTGAGCGGCAGCTGAAGCCATGTGCTTTCAGGAAGCTAGAGCAGGTCTGGGAGATGCCCTTCATGTCATTGAAGATCCAGCCAGCCATCCACTTGTTGTCTAGGGTGGGATACAAGTTCCATTTAAAACAATGGGTAGAAAGCTACAGCTCCCCAGTTAGTTAATTTTACATGTTAAGACAAAATTAGAGTTACATTCCTCTCCTTTATTTTTTTCTTTCCTTACAAAGTTTTACAGAAAGAATTATATTTATGTAGTTTTCAAAGCTTTTCAATAGTCCAGTATTACTAATTTAATATTCACTCTAAGACTTACAAATAGGAATTGCATTATCTTTCAAATAGGAATTGCATTATTTTTTTTTTTTTGAGACAAGAGTCCCAGTATGTAGCCCAGGCTGGCCTCAAACTCTCAACCCTCCTGTGTGCTAGGGTTATAGACCTTTGCCACTGCACTGGGCCTATACTGTCAGTTTTAAAAACATCCACACAATTGAAATCTAATATATGCTATACTTTTCATATTCAGCATGTGTTAGTTTCTCATTATGGAAGCCATTAGCATTTATTTTTTAAAAAAATTAATTATATTTACAGTGTAGAACAAGTTTATAAAACCAGTGTGCAAAGTTTACAGTAAAAGGATAACACTATTTGTTTAGAAACAAGCTGCCTTCCCTGTTTACATTTCGTTATTCTTGATATAAAGTAAGGACATATACTATTTTAAAATAATGCTTTTTAAATAGTAAAATATACAACAGATTCCTGAGCATAACAAAAATATCTTGAAAATATGTGGTCATTTGAAGTATAAAATAGCAAGTGTAAGAATAGCATGATTGTAAAACTACTGTCTCGAGGCTTATAAACAGTACAAAATATTCGACTTTCTTTTCTGAGTGCATAATTATACATTAGTGCAAACAAAAATGTTCCAAATTTAATGGCCACAAATCTCAAAGATTTGCAGAGGTGCGCAGCACATGAAACTTCTTCAGTGTCATGCGAACTGAACCCAGTTCTCGATTGATCCTTTCCAAACGGTCTTCCAAGGCTTCCTAGGTGAAAAGAATGGGAAAGTGTGATGAGAATTCTCCGTTGAGTTCATCAGTCCCACAGTTATCACCAAACTGACCTTTCTTTTCATAGAAGTATAAACTTTAAAATTATAGTTATTTTGCTTTCTACACAAGTCACATTATTTTAAACTGAACAGTGTGAATCAGCTTCTCAACCCCTCAAAATAAATGCTACATTTTAAAATACTCTCAGTATATGGAGATGCCAGAAACAGCAGTACAATCAAGTGGAGGGAGAGAATTCTTTGACTTTGATGAACTGAGAGCAATACAGGAATACCTAAGCAGGCATTTTACACATTCCACCAGACATTTATTAGTACTGTGAACTGCTTAAGTGTGTATGCATTTTTTTGGTAGAATATACATATATGCAAAATTTTAAATACTTTTATCAGTATTAACACCAATGGTAGACTGAAATAAAACAAAATTATCTTTAATGAAAATATATGTTTACGTTGATGTGGTGGCTTATGCCTATAATCCCAGCACTCAGGAGGCTGAAGCAGGAGGACTGCCACGAGTTTAAGGGCAGTCTGAACTACCCAGTGAGACCCTACCTCAAAAAAAAAAAAAAAAAAAAAAATTGTATGTTTATTACAGAATATTTAGAAGACAGATGAGCAAAAAGAAATAGTCACTGTTCTTCTTTCCCTTTCTTATTTTTTTGCATATAGGCATATCTTTTTTGAAAAGAAAGGTAAAGAGGCTGGAGGTTTAGCTCAGCAGCACAGCGCCTGCCTGGCAAGCACAAGGTCATGAGTTCAATCCCTGGTACCAGAAAAAAAAAAATAAATAAAAAGAAAGGTAAAAACAGTCAAACAGAATCAATCTATTACTTCAAATATTGTTCAATTGAACTTTCTTACTACGTTATAAAACATACTTTTTTTAAATTAGCTTACCATATTCCAGCATATTTAACATGCTTAACCAGGAATCTGTTAGTACAAATTTAGGTTGCTTCTAATTTTGGGTACTGTAAGTAAGGCTGTAATAAATTTCTTAAACATATCTTTTTGCAAGTCTATGAGTACTGCCTTACCCGACTCATTCCCAGAAGTTAAAAAATGCTAGGTTCAAGGAAATGTAAGTGTGAGGTTCGGAATATATGTCAAGCTGTACTCCAGAAAGTCTGCAACCACTTCAGTTCCATCTGCTATAGATGGCATGAGCTTTTTCACATTCTGAGAATTGTTTCTAGAAAAACACCTACCGGTGTGATGAGCTTTTATGTGATGCATTTGTTGCACTGTGCTCTGTTCTTGTTCATTAGAGGGCCTGAACACTTTTAACTGCTGCTTGCCCAGTCTGAACCACTTGTGAGCTACGCGTGAGCTCCCTCAGCCGCTCCACACTGGCCACCTGGTGCCCTAGGGAGCGGAAGTGGCCTGGCATCCACGAATGGCCCTAATGCCCTTCAAGTCTTATTTTAAGAGCCCGGAAAAACTTATAATGTTCATTATATAAAAGTGTATTACATATTTGAAGAATTTCACATGTTGAATCTTGCAAATCATACAATAATAATTTCCAAAACAGAAGCAGTAAAGACTCTGTCAGAGTACATGCCCTTGAAAGAGCCCTTGGCTATTGGGGAGGGGAGTATCTTTCTTTTTTATATCACAGATCATAATGAGAATGAACCTTAACTGAAATCAAAGTGTGCAAAAGCAGTGAGAGACTCACACTTGCCACTATGTTTCAGACATTACTAGAAAAGATTTTACTTTGGGTTTGTTTGTTATTTTGAGACAAGCTCTCAGTGTTCATGCAGGCTGGCCTTGAACTCACTGTGATCATCCTGCTTCAGCCTTCCTACTGCTGGGATTACAGGTGTGCACCACCATTCCCGGTTAGAAGTGAATTTTACATGCCCCATGGTTTCATGCATTTAAGCACTCTTTGAAAAGCAACTAAAGAAATGCATATGGGCCATGTCACCTGCACCACCTCCTGCTCAGTAATGGAATCACATCTCTGTCCAGCGCTACAGCTGTTCTATTGCACAGCTCGGTGCTTCACAGGCTGACTAAACAGACTTAGAAACAGATGATGGGGAGCGGGGGTTGTCAAACAATAACAAAAAGGCTTAACACAAGAACATGAATTTAACAATGTCCAATCTGGCTGGGTGTGGTGGTGCAGGCAGGTAATCCCAGCACTCTGGAGCCTGAGGCAGGAGGATTGCAACCAGTTCGAGGCCAGCCTGAACTACACACTGAGTTCAAGGCCAGCCAGGACTGCATAGTGTGACCTTGTCTCAAAAAATAAACAAAACAAAATAAACCGATCTACAGTCTGTTCAAAGGTGCACTGCAGAGCAGGGCTGTTGCTCGATGGTGGAGCACCACCTAGCACGTATATGCCAGGTCCTGGTTCGATCCTAGGCATCGCAAAAAAGGAAAAAACAAAAAAGAAAAATGTACTGCCATTTTCTCCCAAGCTACAATGAACACCATTTTCTTGAAGTCCAAAGGTAAAATCAGTTTTATTCCTGAAAGCCAGCATATGCTTATGAAGTAACAACCACCAAAGCCTCCCACAAAGGCTGAAGGTTCTAACTGCTGGCAACTTCCGTTCTGCCTCCATGCAGCACGCCGTGACTTCACAGCTCCCCTGGATATACAGGGTGCTCCCGAGCACCAAGGCCCTAAAGCAAACTCAGACGACATTTCACCTGGTTCAGTCTCGTCTGCAGAGTGATTCTTCCTCCAGGAGTTGGCATTCGGTTTAGGGCTGCCTCAATCTGTTAACATGTGCAAAAGAAATTAAATAAAAACAAAAGAATTCTAATTACCAGCAGGGAGTAATATAAAATAGATTGGAAAGAACAGATCTCAGCTCAGTATCTTCTTGTCCATTCTGGCTTCACTAAGTCCCCCATGTCGTCTGTCGGCTGTGACCGTGTATATTTCTGGCGCAGCTTTGGGGAGAGGCCCACGGCCGCGTCCGAGGACAGGCTTGACTCGATCACTCCCTCTGACTACTCATTAGATATAAGCATAAGTTCAGAAAGAGACTTTAAAAACTTTTTTACCTGGTCTTTTTCCTTTGTAAGTTCATCAAAAAATCGCTCCGTTTCAGCTAGGGTCCTAATTTTTGCTGTATATTCGAAATCATTACCCTGCGGTGTTACTGAAACAGGCTTACACTGCTCATAGCTAACTGATTTATTCTTCTCCAAGGCTGGTCGCATAGAAACTGTCTTCACTCCACTCGGCAAGGGATCAGGGTGGGAGCTACGACTAGCACAGCTGTCGATGGTCTTTTCTGAAACACTTTTTTCTGTCAGAAAGGAAAGAAATGTCTCACATTTCTTATCAACTTTCCCAATACACTATATATAGATATATATGTATATTAAATATGACCCCCAACTTCACTTTCTGGAAATAGCTACCACATGCCCCCAAAAGTAACAGAGATGCAATAATCAATTATATTTACCCAGTGCTCTTTCTCCAAGGAATTCTAAAAGCTTTCATAACTTCCCAAAATGACCTTAAGCAAAGTTTGCATAAATTTTTTTTTTTTTTTTTGGTTTTTTGGGGTGTTTTTTTTTCCAGTACCAGGAATCGAACTCACAATCTTGTGCTTGCCAGGCAGGCACTGTGCCACTGAGCTAAATCCCCAGCCCCAAGTTTGCATAAATGTAATTAAACTTTAAACAAATAAATCGAGAGAAAAAAAAGTTTAAGGACTAAACTCATTATATGGAGTAGACATACAACACTAAACAGTCACCCTTTTAGGGCGTAGCCAAGTGATTTCACATATCTTATCTCACAGCTTTACTCCAAATTTAAGATGCAAATGAGAAAAAAATTACCCAAAACCAAAGTTGCTTATAAATTATGGAGCTTAAAAGGAAAGGGAAGAGCTGAAGAGTATAGCTCTGGCTCTGGTAATTAAACGTTAACATTGCCTGGACCTCAGTTTCCCAACTTTTCTATGAAGATAAAAACAGTATCATAAGTGAAACATTATGAAAGTTTACTTTTAAAGGTCCCTGAGTAGAAAAATATTTAAGCCTAGCATATTCTAAGATAATACTGAAAACCTTGAAAAGACACCAGAATCTCAAAGAAATGAATGACTATCACTATAATTAGGCAGGTGTGGTGGCATGCACCTATAATCCCAGCACTCGGGAGGCTGAAGCAGGACAATAGCTGTGAGTGTGGCACAGCGAGTTCAAAGCCAGCCTAAACTACATAGTGAGACACTGTCTCAAAAAACAATTAATAAGTTTTAGGAAAAAATACCTTCTGAGTCGTCTAGAGGAATAAACTGGAGCTGCTTTCTTGGACTGGGTCGTTGCAATGTGGACACAGGGACGGTATCTAAATCATCCAAAAGTATATCACATCTATTGAATGAAGCAAGTTACTTGTGAGAAAAGTGTTAACTGATTTCCCTACCTTTACTACTATGACCAGCTTGCATCCAGCTAGTTCATATATTTACATATTTTCTTAAAAGAAAGCTGGTCATGATTTTCTAAGATGAAATGTAATGTCTATTTTCTAACACAAAATGACACAGCAATCACATACTAGAGACTTAAACCAAGCACCCATACACTGTCATTTGATCTTAAAGACAAAGGACAAGGGTCTGGGGATTTAGCTCAGCGGCAAAGCGCCTGCCTGGCAAGCGCAAGGTTGTGAGTTCAGTTCCCGGTACCGGAGAAAAACCAAAACCAAAAAAAAAAAAAAAAGACAAAGGACAGGTGTTGGCTGGTTTTGTAGGGGAAAACTGTAGTGTGAGCTCCCCAGAGCCTGGCAGACTAGGTCTAGAACCAGGAGCAAGGCCCTCTGTGTGCCGCAGCTCCACTGCCCCCGTCACCGCGGACCGCTTCCTCAGGAGCAGGCAAAGCTGCCCACTTCCTGCATGAATGACTCCAGTCTCCCAAGACACTGAGCCTTTACAGGAAGACACAGAGCCATCACCCTACGTCCAAAGGCTAGGTGGGTGTGGCAGTGGTGTTAAAATCTAGTAGTCACGTTACGTAGTTAAAGTCTGTTTTCATATACTGTAATACTTTGCTTTTCATGACACTCATGTAAATAACTTAAATTCAGAGTTAACTGAAAAATCAGTGATAGCTAGAGGCAGAAGTCAACATTTTAAAAATCAGCAGCACAGGACAGGAAGGGGACAAAAGAAAAATTAAAGAAGAATTAAGATGTATTATGTGCAGGTACCAGTCCCCCATGATGAATGTAGTCGATGTGTACTGCAAACACAGACTGATTAAAAAATTAGCAATATAGTTCTTATTCTGCAATTTTAGAGAACTTACCGAGTTACACTGTTTTCATTTTTGCTAAGTAGATGACTAAATCCTGGGGACAAATTTTCTTTCGGGGATCGCTTTGGGCTGTAAGCCATTGTCACAGGTGTTAACATAATCTCTCTTTTTGCTATAGAAGAAAACAAAGAACAAATATTCTTGTCCTTTTATACACTGTATACAGTGATGTCAGAATAGTCTTACAGTACAGAATTTTCCTTCCCATTTTATTTTTTTAAATTAATTAATTTATTTTGTCTTTTTTGAGACAGGGTTTCACTTTGCAGTTCAGGCTGACCTTGAACTCACTGTGTAGCCCAGGTTGGCCTTGTACTCACAGGGATCCTCCTGCCTCAGCCTCCCCAGTGCTGGGATTACAGGTGTGCGC